ATGGGAACAAAATCGAGCAAGTGTTTTCCAGCCCATTATCCAGGTCCTGAATTTGAATTTTGAAAAAAATCTTGCACAAGCTATCGCCGGCCAAAAAAATATGGACAACCTAAAGGTTAGTAAAAAAAAAAATCATACACCAGAAAATTAAAATGAAGCAAGGCTCATTACTAAGTAGAAAGCATAATAGAGTCCAAACTGAAAGCCAAGAATGACAAACGTGGACTGCTATTTCGAACAGGTTGAGTCTATCATGTCGTTTTCTATGTAGTAATCAACCTTGCTTCATTGTTATATTTCTATTTTTGGCTGATCAGATCTTTTACAGATCCTACGTGTACCGGCAGCACTTTCGTTTGCGGTCCCTTGCATCACTGTATTTAGCAGAAATTGCCCACCCACCCACCCCGCCCCCCAACACCTCCCCCGTGCGCTGCGTTGAGGAGTGGCGTGGCAATTGCGGGAAACCTCATAGAAATATCAAAGGATGTTGACCAAGAACGCTTTTGACCTTAAACCATTCTGTAATTCTGCGATGGACATATTTTCGAAAGATCTCAGAAAGAGCTTGCGAAATACCTTAATTGAGTATTGAAGCTTAATCTAAAATATAAATCACCATCATATGTCGTTTCTTTTTAAAACTGAAAAACTTGCAAATGTTGATATCCGTAACCCAGGTGTGTTAATTTGGAGGCTAATTGCTCTATTAAAGTATGACGTGCATTTAGAAATCGGATTACAGCGCGGCGAAGTGATTATGAATTCCTTCCCGTAGTGTGGCCCAGGTAAGCATTTAGAAGATACAAGAAATATTTATTACAAGTGCAAGGATTATTTACTTTTAGATAATAATCGGGTGCGGTTTGAAGATCGTTAGAATAGAAACTATTCATTAATAAATATGACGTAATCATCAGACAAGGAATAGAACATTATCCAAGAAACTCGTCTTTTTTGAACTCTATTCCTTTGTAGCAACATCCTTGATGATTTCTGTTTCGAATGTTTGTTCTCACGACAGAAAGACTTTTATGAGTCCGAAAGCAATGAAGTTATTTTAGAGCAAGACAGAAAATCCGGCGATTTGAAATAAGTCCATCATCTGTTGTTTTGATTAACATTTAAACCAGTTGCAATAACTATATTCATCTACTATGATATGATCTCTATGTGATGTTTATTTCGATCTACTGAAGTAACATCAGCAATTTTTGATCCCGTCACGCAATTTAGCAGCGTTAAAAGCATACAGAATCTTACCTATGACTTCCTCTGGGAATTCTTGGCTCGCTAGAAAACTGAAAATATTCCTCCAGCCGACCTCTTGACGTTTCTTTCGCTGAGGTTGAAATATCGGCACAGCTATGTGTCTTCCCGACAAAACTGACAGAAGTTTCGCCACCGTTGCGCTGTCTAATAGATCGATCACATCTTCGACCGACAAGCCAATAGTCTCCAAATGAACATTAGTCCATTTCGTAAGAGTTCGCCGTCTGACAATCTGCGTGTAGCCGGACACAGGAAAGATAAAATTACTTCGCTCACATGCCATATCGACGACTTGTGCTGTCATCTCCAATTACTCTAATATTCAACGCAGTAGATTCCAATTTGATAACAACTTCTGTTTCCAAAGTTACGGGTTTGAACAATACTCTTGAACGCGACCCTTTTTTCACGTGAAAGGTCGGAGGTTAGACTTGTTTTATCTTGTAAAAAACTTGAAGTGAATTCTCATAATAGAAAACTGTATTTTTAATAAACTGTGCACGTATTGGCAACATCTTTTTTAAATCATAAGTTGCCCAGATCGCGGTTTTCTCCGTTACAGAAAGACAGCTTTTAGGACTAAAAAGATGACATCTTTTTGTCTTCTTTTCGTTTCACTTCTTTTCCCAGGCCATTCCACCAATATGGAATCTTGATTAGCACCTGTAATGAAACAGGGTTATAAAAAAGTTATTTGTTAAGGCCTGTGACAACCTTCATTTGTTTTGATTGTATAAATAAGAAGCACATTTATAGTTGGGCCAAGTGCCAAAGAATACAATCGCGCATGAACAAAAAATATTTTGAGCAATGATAAATGCCATCATGTGAATTTCTTTTTTCACCTCCCACAAACAACGAATATAGAAATTAAAACCAGCAAAACAGATCTCAAGACTCTGTAATGAATCTGGCCATTTTTACTCCTTTATTTCGCACTTTTTGCAACCTCAGGAAAAGAAAGTATGGGACCACTGGACAGGAATGCGGAAGGTTTCAAGCTACAAGCTTACTAACTAAAGTTCTAAATTTTGACGTCTTGTCATGTCTCGACAGTTTCTTTAATTTTCGTTTGAATAATCAACGAGTTCAGAAACTTACCCGCTTAGATTGCCCGACCAGAGGTTCTATTAGGGGTTTTCGGGTACGGGGAATTTTAGGTAAAAACTTGACGAAATACAGGGTATTTTTGGGCAAAATTTAATGGAGGGGGTTGCAGTTGGATATGGGATATTAAGATCAGATAAAACGGGATATAGAGCAGACAAAGTGAGAATTGTTTAGTTTTTTTCAATTAGAATTAAAGGGATACGGGATTTAGGCCAAAATTCAGTTAACGGGATGTGGGATACTCAGACCCCCACCCCACCCCCCAGCCCGCCCCTAATGGAGCCTACAACCAGTCAAGGAAAGAAACGTAGGTTTGAAGTGTAACTCAGTTCACATCCGTGTTCTGTCGTTTAATTGTTTGTTCAAAGCGAGACCTCATGATTTGAGAGAGATAGTGAGTTATAGGTTTGACACTATTTGTCCAAGGTTCGTGTTATAATTTATTTAGAAAAAGATCCACTCGACATGGCACTTCTCATTCCGAAACGATCGCCATTGGAAAGTAAAGGCGACAGGATCATAAATAAATTTTGGTATAAAGCGATGTAGTAAAAGGTGCGGATTGTTTCTTTGCCAATGTACACAAATGTACATCACGAATCAGACTTTTAGAGCATTTTAATACATGAAACCGTCTACTGAGGAATGCAGACCAAATTCCGGTAACTTCTTAAAACCCAGCGGTTAAGACAGGCCGAAAATAAAGGAAGCTTTAACAAATGTTACAACGTCTTTCGAGAATCAACTCAGGTTTTAAAATTCCTAGCCTCCGAAGGAAGAGTTCTGCCAAGTCTTTGCCTTGAAACTCTGTTCAGTTAATTTATTTGCTGTGCTGTTGATACGATTTATGACTGTTTTATGAAAACCAAGTGAAAAAGTGGTGTAATTTCACGGACAGAGCTCCTGTCTTTGTATATATCTCCTCTGTGTCTCCATGCAGTTGAAAACCCCTAACTGACTTTGAATCTGGCAGCGTATTTATAGATTTGGAAATAATTAAATCCTTGCGCTTTTCGCGACTCAACTCAGTGTGTAACTTGAAACAAAAACAATTCCACGCTCGGCGAAGTGACAGCTTCAACAGGCGAAATAATCTTGTCGTTTATTGCCCTCTCACGTTTTAATCAAAGACTGTTTCAATGCGAAGATTAATTCAAAAACAGCCAAAGTTTACATACCTAGATCTGTGACTTGCCTTCTCTCCTTTCTATTTGTTCTTCAGCTTCTTTTAGCATTTCTGTTGACATTACTAGAAGCTTTTAAGACTCTTCTGCTCTTTGTAACCAGGGTAACTAAACCTTTGTTTGCGAACCATTATGTGTGAAATGTTTCGACCGCATTCTAGCACGTTTGTTAAGGTCTTCCCTCCCAATAAGTGATTAAATTAGGTTTCTTATCGCATAAACCGTTACCATTTGTTTGCTTCCGGAACTTCTTTTACAGACCCACCCATTATTTTGCCGGCCAAATTTTCCGTGCACTCCCTATTTGGTTAAAATGTCCCGCAAACTTTCCACGCAGTTGTCACGTGCCATCAAACTTTCCGTGATCACACGTGATAACGTTACGATTTCGTTCGTCAATCCCAAATGAAGTTGCAAGTATACAAACTTGCTCCAAGCATTGCGCACAGCACGCGCGACCCTCTCGCGCGCGTCTCTCTCTCTCTCTCGCCCGCGTCTCCAGTTGCTCCCTTTGAACAAACTGTGGTGCGTTCAGGTATATTCACCAGGTGAAACTATCATTTACATTGGCCTTATTGGCCAGTAAGTGGAGCGGAGCCTGGCCAAGTGGTTTAGCCGTCAAGTCCCGTTCTGACCACTAAGCTAGAGCTGTTTCTCGGTAGACCCTCGTTCAACTCCTCGGTCATGCTTGACTTGTTAAGAGCCAATTGTTCTGCCTACCGTCAGCTGGGATTTTTAAACCTATTATTTTGATTGGAAATATTCGTTCTTTCTTAAGAACTGGCTAGGTGTAGCTAAGCGCATTGACAGAAGGGACAGAGGTTTAATTTTAAAAATGATTAAAATACTTCTACACCTAGGCCAGGAATACGGTAGATGCAATTGATATTTTCTCTCAGAAGGAAATAAAACTCTAAAATAAAAAGCAATTTTGAAACCTATCACAACAACCATGAAGGGACACGTCGCCTGCGCAATGAAACATGCGCANAATTAACTTTGTTTAACATGCGTTTTGGTTCCATGTTTATCACCGCGGTTTGTGTTTTGTTTCTTCTATAAAAGCTACGATGGCCAAGGAAAAAGAGTGTTTACGATTTGGCTAGGTGTAGCTAAGCGCATTGACAGAAGGGACAGGGTTTTAATTTTAAAAATGATTAAAATACTTCTACACCTAGGCCAGGAATTCGGTAGATGCAATTGATATTTTCTCTCAGAAGGAAATAAAACTCTAAAATAAAAAGCAATTTTGAAACCTATCACAACAACCATGAAAGGACACGTCGCCTGCGCAATGAAACATGCGCAGTACGCGAAACATAAGACCTTGACGTGTCAGCCGCGTGAGATAAGGGGTCTGGGAAGCAGTTGTTATGTCAGATCTTTCAAAATCACAAATCGTAGGACTCCCGGTAAAGAATGAATAAGCCGCTGTTATTTATCTTATTTTCCAGTTTTCTATATTATCCAGTGTTCTCCGAGGACTACTATGAATTATTAGGAATATCTAGGGACGCAAGCCAAAAGGACATTCGTAAAGCATTTAAAAAACTAGCTCTTAAGCTTCATCCGGATAAAAACCCGGTAAGTTAGCTTACGACACATGCATGTGTTTATATTTTTTTTTCCTTCATCAATTTATTGTATTTCCTGTTCCCCTAACCATTTTTATTTAACAGGATGACCCTCAAGCACACGAAAGGTTTACAACGATTAATAAAGCATATGAAGTTTTAAAAGGTAGGTATTATATATTAGAGACCTTGTTTCAATGTCACAAACACATTTGGCTCTCTAATAAACCTGTGTTAGAAA